TGCGTTTAGGAAAAATGAGTTTGGTGTGGGAGTGGAGCTGAATGAAGCAGGACAGAACCTGATGAAGAAGCAACAGGCGAGGCTCGGCCGCAGTCTTGAACGCCTCTCCACTGAACTCTACAGCAAAGACACACACTTTGTTCTGGAGCTCATTCAGGTTTGACTGCTAGAACATCACGCTTCCTGCTGGGAAGTGCAAGAGTGTAATTCATGTTGAGATGAGCGCATACTAGAACGTCTTCTTGTATTATCTTGATAACACAGTGTAAATACGTCATCGCTCTTCCGTTTACATTTACATTTATTCATTTAGCTTTGATCCAAAGCGACTTACAAATGAGGAAATATAAGCAAAGCGATATTTCCGAGAACAATACAAGTAGTGCTACTATGCAAGATCTTTTATTTTTATATGTTTAGTTTTTTGGTCTTGTTTTATTCTGATAGTTATTAAGCTGTGTATCTTCTTATCTTTTTTTATTTTATTTTTATTATAGTTTAAGGCATCGAATAAATGCTGTGAAATCACTGTGCTTTATCTGTGCACAGAATGCTGACGATAACAGCTACGCACTAGATAGAAAGGAGGATCCCGCTTTGGCCTTCGTAGTGCAGAAAGACTGCATCGCCATTTTAAACAACGAGTGCGGCTTCGAGGAGAAGAACATGCGAGCTATCTGTGACGTGGGGAAGAGCACTAAAGGAAGACATACTTGTGGATACATAGGTAAGCAACGTGCCAGTTCCATGCCAGCTCAAAGAATAGGCGCTTAATTAATCGTCATTCAAACGTCATAGATGCTTAAAGCTGCAGTACTGAACCTTTGCCTCTCTATCGCCATCTCTGTTTGAAACACGAAACTGCAAATCACTTGCTGAGTTTTTATTTATTTTATTTTATTTTTTGAAGTGGGTTGTGCTTTGGCACTGCTCCTCTGTTCATATGAATCTGATGGTTTTAGGTATTCGTGTAGGTTGTATATTAGCTCTAATTCTTGACAACAGAGATGGTGGAGGGTACGAGTTTCTCGGAGTAGAGGTGAGTTGCTCTCTCTTATAGCTAGCAGAAAATAAGTGCAATTTACCATATTGACCATAGCAAAAAACAGCAACAACAACAAAACAACACAGGAAATCCAGGTATTGACCTAGCTGAATCAAGTGAACAAGCACACTAATGTTAGCTAGCTACCTATTGAGCCACTGAAATGTCTATTTGTTCAACAGAAAAAAAAGCCATCACGGCAATCCCTTCCGATTCAAAAATTAACCTTCAGATCTTGGAGTTTTCGCCACCTCTCAAAAGCCATGATGATATTTATTCTCAAAGATTAACAAGGATTTTTGTTCATTTTTAACGAGCAAAAAAAAAAAGTTAGATTCAAAAGCTTTAAATAATCAACAATTCACGTCATTCTTTTCCCCAAGAATAAATCACTTCTAGAAATCACTTCTAAAAAGTTCTGCCAGCGTTTGTTGTAGACTTTCCCAGCCACATACACACTTGTGCAGAGTCCATGGCTTAAACATGTTCCGCATATTTGTGTCCCCAAAATCTCCATACATAGGGGAATTTAACACCTTTTAGCTTAATGTAACTTTATTTGCAAAACTCTAATAAAATCTACATGATTATCATTTCATAGCGAACACCGCTCTGGCTCCCAGTTCGGCGACAGTGTCATGTGTGATGTGTTTGTAATATTTCCTGTGAAAGTCCATCGCAGCATTGTGAAAGCTTCCCCATCCAGCCTTGAGAATGATTACAATGCTTTCTCCTTTTTCATTTTTTTCCAGTGGTATTCATAAGGTTATCTGAATCAAATCTATATTATAAACTAAATATATAATATAAACTATTTTGGGAGTGTGTTCTTTTTATGGAGACTTTTGGGCCACACTGTACTTGTAAGAAAAATCGAACTAATCTGTGGAAACAATCATGTGACTATTATAAACAGAATGGTATTAGTAGTTTATATTGTGACCCAGGAGTGTTGAGTTTCACTGATGTAAGAATATAGCATTTTTATCATGTTTACATTTTGCTTGTGTACAGTTTTGATTGCAGGACCTAGACTGCACAATGAATGTGTATTTTATGGGATTTATACTAAGAAAGCTGTGAAAGAAAAATGTGCTTTCCATTGCCATGTTTGCAATTTCACATTGTCTTGAAGATGCCTTAAAGTACCTCACTGTCTTTCTTTTTCAGTTTAATACTTTTTCATTGTAAAACATTTTTTTTTCTTCATACAGGACAGAAAGGCATTGGCTTTAAATCGGTTTTTAAAGTCACAGACTGTCCTGAGATCCACTCCAACGACTTCCATATCAAATTTGACAAGGCCAGCGGCCCCATGGGATACATCCTGCCTCACTGGGTGGAGGAGGAGAGGCCCGTGCCCTCTGTTGCCAAGGAGATAGCTGAGAAAAGGTTTCTATTTAAACTCAAGATATTGCAGCGTGTACTCTGACTAAATGTTCATACTCATTTTATGCTTAGTATATGCTACACACTGCGCACAGCTAAATAATTACATGTAGTATTTAACACAATAACACAGGCAAATAGGTCTTTTGTGGCCTCTGTGCCTGTCAGTCACAGTAGCGAAGGCGTATCCTCTGTTCTTGATGTAGAATAAATCATGTCCAAGGTAATTTCGACATCCTGATCCTATCCCATCCCTTGCTTTTCCCATAAAGCTGGACCACAAAGATCTTCCTGCCTCTTCGATCAGAGAGCTACCAGACCAAAAACCTTTTCCACGACGTGCACCCATCTCTCCTGCTCTTCCTCCACCGTCTCCGCTCCATCTCTATCTACAGTGAGGTGAGCGCGGCTTTGTCATTGTCGCCGCCGCACAGAAAAAAAGCCGATCTAAATGAGGAAGGCTCATGTTGTGTGTTTGGATTGCGAGACAGGCTGAGAAGAGAGTGGTGTCCATGACGAGACGAGATCTGAGTAACAACATGCTGGAGGTGGAGCACACGGGTGGTGTGGAGCGCTGGCTGGTCATCAAGAAACTACTCTATCCTAGGATGGTGAGGGACACCACACACACACACACACACACAGTATTCACTTACTAATGCTGTTTTTTCCCCCTGTTTATAATGAGAGCATGCCTGTACTCCTTCTGAGAGACTTGGCCTATTTTCCAACTTTTCTTGACAGGGTTTTATTCAGGTTTTTGAAAATGTTCCAGTGGTCTGAGGCTGTGTATGTCTTGTACAGCTTGCACCTGATGGACATCTTATTTCCATCTCATTAAAATAGCAATATGGTCTTACTAACATGGAGAGCTGAATTCATTTCCTTTGTCTTGAGACCTTTTTTTTTTTAATGTTCGCAGCCTGGTGATGTGTTTCTGGATGTCTATTTCCAGATGATTCTCTCTAATCCTATTTCTATACTCATTTTCACAAGGAAATTGGTTGGTTGGGAGGAACAATCTCTCCTTCATTATAACTGTGCAGTCTTGAGCACACTTCACTGATTGCTTTGCTCCCTAACTACACAGTGTTGTTTCAATCTGCCTTTTCATTGCAGGTTGGATAATCTTTCTCTGTGTGTGTGTGTGTGTGTGTGTGTGTGTGTGTGTGTAGATTAAGGTGGATGTGGAATCTACAGAGCTAGCTCTTGCCTTCCAGCTCAGTAATGGCTCTGAGGGTGACCTGAAGGTTCAGCCTCGGCAGCAGCCCGTCTTCGCCTTCCTGCCCCTGCGAAGCTTCGGCTTCCGCTTCATCGTCCAAGGTCTGACTTCACTCCCATATTCCTTCACTCAGATTATATCGACTGCTGTTTACTGTAGTGTTGAGACAGTGAAGTTGAAATAAGGCTACTTGGTATTTTGGATGAACATTTGGAGAAATGGTGCATTGATCTCCCAAGTGGTACAGCAGAAGTGTTCACCCTATAGTCTAGAGACCGTGAGTTTGAATCCAGATGATGCCACAGCCATCCATGGTCAAGTGTCCAAGACAGCAAAATTGGCCATGCTCTCTGGGTGGCAAAATTGACCTGTTAGTCAGGGTGACACTAGCCAGCATTGGGTATCTGTGAGCTCATGTATGCAGAAGAGGGCAGACAGTGTGTTACACTGCCCTGTGATGCAGCACAAGCAGCAGTTAAAAAAGATGAAGTATGTGATGGCCTTCACCCTCCTTGGTTGTTAGCTGCTGTATGATTAGGGGAGAGCAAACTGATTGGTGGGAGTGGGCGAAAACCAAAATTAGGGAGAGAATCGGTGGAGGGCGGGGAGAGTGTTCATATTTTGCACACTTTCTTCTACTGGGAAAATTCATAGTCATAGTTTTTGTGGCCTGAAAATGTGAGTACCAAAAACAAATACAATCTGAATAAGACTAAAGGGGTGTGGCACGTGTTAAATACAGTTGCATCCTAAAGAATTATGGGTTTACTTACAGTGTATTGATTATTTTTATAAGTTTATTTCTCACTAATTGGATGGCAGTAATGGACCATTCGTATACAGACAGGAATGTAAATGAGAAAAAAAGATCAATAGTGTTAATGTGTTATATGAGAAACTATTTAAAGCTGTGCTTCTTTTCCCGGGTCTTTGCAGGAGATTTTGACATTCCTTCTTCTAGAGAGGATGTTGATAGAGACAGTTCCTGGAATCAGTGGCTCCGGTCTGAAATCCCTCAACTCTTCCTGCACGCCATGGATGTTTTCAGTGTAAGCACAGAGTGGCATAGAATGAGACTATGGACTGTAATATATACCATACCATACTCTCTGTATGTATGTATGTGTATATATATATATAAAGAATGATAATGATAATGCGTCTTTATTGATCACATATACATATGCACAGTGAAATTCTGTTCTTCGCATACACCAGCATGTTAGGAAGTTGTTAGAAAGTTGGAGTCAGAGCGCAGGGTCAGCCATGATACAGCACCCCTGGAGCAGAGAGGGTTAACAGTGGTAGCTTGGCAGCGAGCAGAGAGTGTTAACAGTGGTAGCTTGGCAGTGCTGGGTCTTGAACCCCAACCTTCCGATCAATAATCCAGAGCCTTAACCACCAATCCACCACTGCCCGAGAGAGAGAGAGAGAGAGAGAGAGCGAGCTGACAAATTAAAGGATAAACTGGTGGTTCTGTTATGCCTGTAGGGGGTATATATTTAGTCGGCATGGTTTGCATCCACTTGTCCCCTTAGAGTGAAGGGTCACGGCAAATCAATGAGTTCTTCTTACTGACTTATCCTATGAAACATATCTGTCTTGATAGCAGTGACATTGTCACCATCCACATGACACAAGGGCTCACAGTCATTCATCAAGGATGTAAATGATGTAAATCAAATGCTATGGCCTTCACATATTTTAGTCCATTCAGTCCAGAGGTTTTAGAGTCATGTTTTAGACCGCGCTCTCCACCATCATCTTCAAAACACTAATTAAGGGAACATCATTTTGAAAGAATGGTGTTCATCCCTCCAGCACAGCACCAGAGACTTTGCCAAGGCACACTGAAGCTGTTCTGCTAGTTAACGGTGGCTCAACACCTTACCTTACATGGCACAGTGGTGGCTTAGTGGTTAAGGCTTTGTGTTACTGATCGGAAGGTCGGAGGTTCAAGCACCAGCACTGCCAAGCTGCCACTATTGGGCCCTTAACCCTCCAGGGCCGCTGAGCCTGCACTCTGACCACAACTTCCTGGCATGCTGGGGTATGTGAAGAAAAGAATTTCACTGTGCTTGACCAATAAAGACTCATTAACATTATTATATGTCATTTGAAATTTGCATATGACTTGCAAATGTTTCCTTAGATTTATATGATTAATGCATAACTGTTTTCAAAAACGTTACAGAGTCACCCCGAGTTTAATGGGCTGCAGGGACTCTGCCAGTTCTTGCAGTATATCCCCCAGCCTAGTGAAATCCTGGACTTTTTCAACCCTGTGGCCAAACAGATCATCCAGCTGCTGAAGGGGAAACCCTGCCTTCCAGCCAAGATGGACAGCAGTGAGTCTGCACTGCACTTTCACTTTAACTCGAGCACTGTCTGAGTCTTCATGTTTGTATTCAATTCAAAATGGCCTGCATGACTGAAAATAGATGAAATGAAAGTAAAAAAAAATATATATATATATATATATATATATATATATATATATTTTGGACTGGATTGCAAAAGAATTGCTTACTAAAAAAAAAAACTATGGTGTTGCAGAGGGCAGAGTGGAGTTCAAGCTGCCTTCACAGGTGGCTGTGTGCCAGGACCCGCTGTTCCAGGACGTGATCGGAGGAGAGGAGCTGTGTAAGCACCTGAACCTGTCATACCTTCACCCTGCACTGCAGTCATCACTGTCATCTTCTCTTCTCACTGCTCTGGGTGTCCAGCGGCTGAAGGCTCCTAACATCACCACCGTCATCTGTGCAATGGCCAAGAGTCTCGCACAAGAGGGTGATATTCACTCAGGTATAACAGCTCATAGGGGCTGAGCGCCAACGCTGTTGTATGTTTCGAATTTAAACGCACACATAGAGTTTTTTTTTTTTTCTTGAGTTCTGAGTATTGTTCCTCCAGATGCCAATCTGAAAAAGCTGGCCAAGCTGCTGGCATGTAATTTCCGTGCTCTGGAATCCGAATACAACGAGGTGGATAACCTCCTTCAGGCCCTCCGAGATGTTCCCATGATCCCTCTGGCAGATGGCCGTGTGGTGGCTCTCAGCACAGAGGGTGTCTTCTTTCCTCTCAGTGAGGAGACTCACAAAGGTACGACCAAAATAAGCTCACCATCCCATTCTAAGCTGTACAGTCATTAGCAATTAAAAGAATTACATGCTGCTTTGTTTCCTTGCTGGTTTCACTGCTGTTTCTGTAAACAGACTCATTTTAAGCACCTGTCTTTCAGCTCAACTTCATTTACGTGCTACTTTTAGTCTGGACTTTCTCTGAATTTTCTACTTGATCAGAATTTTAAACACATTTGTGTAAATGTAGTGAATAAACAGATCCTGAATGAATTAAATGAGTAATCATGGACACTAGAGCAGTGAACGCAACTATGACATTGGTGCTCATACCGGTCTACTTCTCTATGAGATGACATTGTAAATTGTAGGTGTATTGGCTGTCAAATACAGTAAAATCCAAAAAACAGGAGGGGTTTATAAAGAAGGAAGGTGGCAGGTCAGACTGTGGCTAAAAGCAAAGACCAGATGAATTTAATATTAATGCGCCAGTGTCACTGGAAGTGGGTCATAGGCACTCATGTGCAGTGAAAACCACAACCCCCTCATGCAACACTGTTTCATCTCTATTATCACAGGCCTGGATGCTCTGTACAAGGACCTGAGCATCGTGGAGCCGCAGCTGCTGGCGTGTCTGGATAAGTTGGGTAACTCTCAGGTGCGCGAGCTGCTCTGTAGGCTGCAGGTTCATGAGCTGGAGCCCAAAGTGGTGCTGCAGAAGCACATCTACCCCATACTGAAGAATGCTGCTTGGAAGGTCAGAACACATCCTGCACACTTATTCAAGAGCATCACGCGATGGTCTGATTTGTTTGTGTTGCGAAAGAGAGCGATGTCTCTGATTTTAGGACGTAATGCTTGTTCCAACGTTTAGGTAAGGAATAAACCACAACAGGGTGTGCGGTTCTAGGACAATAATGGCAACCGCACCACGATGTTGATTATTTTCCAATAACGGCACGTCCTGATGTGCTTTTTTTGTGATGCACAGTGCCACAGAGCAACTCTACAGAAATCCAGATATAAAATTTAGGTTTATCCTTAATGAGCAATGAAAACGCGACGCTGGCAGGGAAACACTCCCTGAGGTGACAAGAGGAAGAGACTCATCGAAATTTTAAAGCGTGACAAAATAATGACGCTTGTCATGTTACCGAGACTCCGCAAAGCCGAACAACTTTACTTCTGACTGTTACAAGCACTGACACTGGAGACTCCTTCCAAAAAAGCTCATTAATATAAAATTTGCCTTGAAACTGTTACAGAAAAGGATTCAGCACCTTCTGACCAATCAGAATCAAGTATTCAACAGTGCTCTAGTATAGGCTTTTATAATGAACATTGAACATTTTAATAATTATTCATCATCTCTACTTCCAGTCAAATACTGATATTAAGAATGAAGATATGAAAATGTGAATGTGAAGCAGCACATACATTAAGCTCAGTTAACATTGACGTTATTATTATTATTAGTAGTAGTAGTAGTAGTAATAGTATTAATATTCACAATGCATCCACAGGATAAGTCGACGGACATCACTGTCAGCTACCTGGTGTTTATCAAAGAGCATTCGCAGGAGCAAGACTACAGGGTGCTAAGGGAAGCTATCCCCGTACTCACCAACAAGGGTTTCCTCTGCCCCGGCCAGAGCAAAGTGCAGTTCTCTGAAGATTACGGCAACATCGACCTACCCAACAAGCTGCCTGGTAAATACCACACTCGGCCTGTCAGCCTGTGTTCGTATGCCAAACAGTAATACTCCTACTCGTACATATGGCACTATACATGATGAAACTGTTTGGCACTATATCCCTGACCATCTGTGAGTCATGGTTCACCCATCGCCATGTGTGTATTACTGTGGACGAAGCTTTTCTCTTTTTTTTTCACACTTGCAAAAAAAAATAAATAAACATGATAAAAATATGTTTAAAAGAGAAAGATGACCATATTCTAAAATAATTTGTCAGCTAGGTTCTGTAATCTATAGTATATTCACAGCACAAGACCCACACACTATTAAAAAGGTACATGATCAAATTTCTGAGGCAAATTAAAACTGGCTTTTTGGACACGAGCCAAATGCAGATAGAACCTTATTGTTCTGTAAGATCACATGCTGGTGGTTTTTCTGGCTGGTTCTTATTAGGTTTAATCTCTCTCCGTCTAAAAGAACGAGATCTTTACAGTACAGTAAGGAGAGACATTTTTGTGTCCATTAAGGCAACATTATAATCGTATATGCATTTCAGTCCGGTTTTCATTTTCTGAACGTACTCTCACAGTGAAACGGTTCCAGACTATGGCAGATAGAACCGTATGATACTGTGGTCATGAACTATAAGAACAGTTTATGAAAAAGATTTCATTAGAAATGGGAGAGCATGGATGTTGGATGGATGTGTAAAAGCTTGGACCTGACTACATCTTGCTGTCCTCTCTCGTCCTCTTTTGTTTTTCTCGTTCCCATTCCATCTTCCTCTCTACCTCTCCGTCTCAGGTGTGGACTGGGTGCTACTGGATTCATGCTACCTGCGTGATGGAGATCTATCAGGATGGAGGGACTTCTTAACTGACCTCGGAGTGAGGGATCTTCTCATTTTTAGGAAAGAGAGACGCACCCTAAGAGACACAGAGCTGGTAAGAGGCCCAACTTGTTTGGCATGCCAGGGCGTTATTCCCTGTGTCCCAGGCCCCGGCACGTCGTTGAACGTTCTGAGGCAGCCAAATGAAGTAATCCAGCAATCCAAAGGTGTAGCCACATGACTGTCACAGGGTGGCAGCTTCTACCATTATTATAAAGCTTGACCTCAAATCTTATCCCTGAGAGCTCTGCTATCGATCTCACGTTGATTGAAATTATTATTGTATGGTTGTAGGTAGTTTGATCAAACCCCAGAGCCCAGAGTATTAAGAACTACAGAGCAGCTATTACTAGGTCATTATGTTCATTCGTTCATTATGCAGCCAGATCGTCAAAATTTCTGTAAATGCAGCCAAATCTTATGTTAAAAAAACAATGAGGTTTGTCGTTATAGGAAAATGATCAATGGCGGAGTGGTATGATGAACACAAAGTTGATTATTTTCAAAAGTGTGTTATTCCTCTTATACCACAGCAATTTACCAATTATTTATTTATATATGAAGTGTAGTTTTCTTTATTTTAAAATGGAATATTCTTTATTTTAAAATGTTTTCAATTCCAGACTTCGATTTCCCCCACATAAAATCATGCATGGTACTGTATAGCGTGGACAATTTTACGGTCATGTATTCATGAAGGTAAACTGCTTTATGTCAGCCTACAGCACAGATCTAAGTAATCGCAGAG